GTTTTGCAGGTGTCGTGTCCGTGAACAGTGGCCAACATCCAACGTATTTGCCATTGAAAGGTTAGATATTTACTCACCAACACCTAGAGGTGCCTTGTAGACATTGGCTGGCAAGCCAGGCCTGGTATGATCAGGCCGCCATGCTTCCCTCGGCCTGGTCAGGTTGTCAATATAAGGCAGGCTATGAAGTTCTCCAGGTCGCAATCACACTCTCAGAACGTTTTCGGGAAATTGTCCGGTGCTCCCAGCCAGTTGAAAACGTGTTGTTCGGCCACATGGCGAATGATTGCCCCCTCAGGCGGCTCTGGAAGTGTGCCAAGTCGATGTAGAGGAGGCCGAGGAGACGACACGCAACCGCACCCCCGCTTGGGCAGAAACATATGTTGTGTTACCTCTTTTGATCCACCCCTTGGTGGCATTACGGAGGCTTTATTTGCATTTCACGATGTGGTAGGCGTCCTGAGCTGCAGGCCACCCGTGGGGAGCATGCCCCCACGGGGGAGTTGCGGGACGAAACGCCCAAGATTGGTCCAGCATAGCACTTTGCTGCGAGACTCGCGGGTTGTCGTTGGACCCTTTTGTGCGTTGAATTCACCAAGTCAGTCCCCACTTATTTGCGAGAGGGAGTAGGAAAGCATCTGCCAACCTTTTGTCCAAACATTGCACTTTCAATTCCAAACCCGCTTCAAAGTGTGAGAAAGTAAAAATCACGCTCCTAGGAGAATATAGTAAGGAGAATTGAAATATGAAATTAGTTTTGAATATCTCCCATGCGCGAAGAGATGTCTGGGATGAGATTTTGGAGAATAAACCCTTTAGCTCTTTCGGGTCTGTACACCCTTTTGAAAGATTTCTACTGACTTGGTGAATTCAACGCACAGCTGCATGCAGCTGTTCGAGATGAGGGCATGCCTGAGGCGATCCAACGTGAATATGTATGTAGATCCTCCGCACCCTGATTTTGGGCAGAAAGGATGTGGGAAGCCATACATGTTAATTGGCTGCTGGTATTGGTTGGTCAAGGTTGAGAGGGCGGAGATTTGGCTGATGCTGGTCGAGAAAAGAAAAGAACTTGTCAATCGTAAGGCACAAGCGGGCCATTGGGAGCAAGTGATGCTGCCCAATTCAAACAACTCACTCACTTTACCTACACAACCACAGCAACCCCCCTTTTCATTTTCACTCCACGCTAAACCAAATTGACTTTGGCGTACGTCTGCGCTCTCTCAGCCTGCCTTGAGAACCTCAACCGGCAACATCTGGCTGGTCAGAACTCCTCCATCCTCTGCCTGACACGAATATAGGCATCAATCGACTGCTCGGCATGCCTGGAGCCGCAATCAACCGAGCTTGGTATCATTGCCCGCTTGCCACGTTAACGACACACGTGGGGTACCTTACAAATCCATCGCATGCACACTGACAGAGCCTTGTAGTCCAGAAGACTGACGATGCCGTCCAACAAAGACTTTGCGAGTTGTGTTTTGAGGGCAGAAAACTTTGGGACACATCTCTTGTCAAGTACAAGAAGGGAGCGGAGCCTCCGCATTCTTTCCCTTCTCATATGTGTCTACATTCAGCCAGCTCTTAGGTAGTCTGGAGCTATAATCCAGAAACTGGTTACCTGCCCCCCTAGCCTGCATCTACAACTTCAACTCCCATACGCAACTGCCGCCGGGTTCCATCATGGCCACAAAGAGTTCCCGCCCGCCACCCACCACCATATACCGCACTCGCACCACACGTGCCGAGATCAAGTCGGCCGCGGACCTGATGCTGCACAATGCGGTTGCTCAAGCAGCCGCCCCCTCGCCAGCACCCGCCTTGGCCCCTGGGACGACCTTCTCAACCGCCTCCACCGTAATTAGCAGTCCTAATGATCTCCCAGATCCTTTCAAACCCTTCTCCCGATCTGACGCCAGCACCCTCCTGCAAGAGTTAAATATCGATGAGCGTAAAGCGAGTGCCGCGGCGCCCCGACGATCCACAGCAGGAATGTTCCAGGCCGTCGTCTCCACCGACTTGCTCTTCCTCATTGATACAACCAGGTCCATGGGTTCCTACATTGAAGCCGCCAAGCAGCAAGTCAGGAGTATTGTCGACGAGATTGGCAAGACCTTTTTCAATGAGGCCGAGATCCGCATGGCCGTGGTATCATACAAGGACCACGAGTTCAATCCAAATATTCAGTTTCTCGACTTCACCACATCCGTTGATCAAGTGCACTCCTTTCTTGCAGGCCTGAGCATTGCGCCAAGGTATGGGGACCGTCCCGAAGATGTTCTCGGTGGAATTCAACAAGCGGTCAACGCTTCGTGGAAGAACCCAACCAGATGCATCATTCATATCGGGGACGCACCCTCGCATGGCCGCAACTTGCACGACATGGGTGACAGGGCAGATCGCTTTCCCACCCCCGGCACCGAGCCACACCGCCTCACGTACGGGCCGCTGCTTAGCCAAATGATATCGAAGCGTATCAACTACGTCTTCCTTCGAATCAATAATACCACGGATCGCATGGTATTCACATTTTCCAATGAGTATGCCGCGACTTTGGCCGACACCACGCTACTCAAGACCAACAAGTACTACAGCACGTTGAGCACCAACATCAAGCGCAATCCCTCGGGTGCCTTGCTGTTCCGGGAGGTTGAATTAGGCATCACTCTCAGCGCGCTGCACCGTCTCGTTGTCAATGCGGTCACGGCTTCAGCTACTCGCACAGCTACTCGTACGGCTTCCCGCATACGCAAGCCAGGGAACGACAGTTCACCAGGTTCGAAACTTCCAGGCGTCGGCGAAGAGGAGGAGGACGATGAGGACGATCAAGAGGATGCCAACGACCCGTCTGCTTTGCCAACCGAGATTGTCTCCCCACAGTGGGAAGAGTCAGATTGGTTCGAAGAGACGCTCAGGATGCAAGGCTTCTCACTGAATGTGAAACACGGTGCCAACACGCTCAATGAGATGATGGAACGAGACAGCAACGATGGGCTTAGCGTGCTGTTGCTTACTGTCCACAAGCGGAGGCTGCCGTTTGCCAAAGGCATCCTTCGTATGGCCTCATATGCCCGCACAGTGTCATCTACCAATCCCTACGTGGCCAAGTCGTTTATCAAGAAAGCACCACAGATTGCTTACCTGGTTGAAGACATGCGGTGTCAAGCGCTGTGCAAAGCATTTGCTCTGGAGTTCAACGCTCTGCTGGCGGACAGTCCCAGACACTCAATCGACTTTATCGTGACGGCGTGCTTCAAGGGCAAGTCGGAGCTCAAGTCGGGCGACGAACTCATATCCATCGAGCCTTACATTGGCCTTGACTATGTCAAGTACAACACCAATGCCGGTTGGGTCAATGATTCTAAGGATCTGTCCAACGAAGCAGCGCAAGCTTTCTCTCACTTTACTTTTGAGCGTTCACGGGGAGCATTCCTGGTCAGTGACCTGCAAGGCGTTAACGGGCTGCTGACAGACCCTGCTATCCATACACGTGATGAGGACCGCTTCCCGTTATCCAAAGCGAATCTCGGTGATGACGGCTTCAAGTTTTTCTTTGCCACACATGAGTGCAACGATATCTGTCGAAAGTTGGGCCTCAAGAGCAACCGCTTGATGATAGTGTCCGGTAACTACGACTTTAGGAGCGACTGGCCCAGCTTACCCGATACGCTATGCTGCTCTAACAAGCTCTGTGGCAAGATTTTGCGCCGCGCAGACACTAGAGTGTCAGATAAGTACCCAGAATACCAGTGGTGTGAGATGTGCTTTCCACAGTTGGAATCTACCACGGAGATGGAGGTTTGTAGGGCGGATGCCCCATACCACAAGTTTGAGTTGTCCAGATTTTTCCATGAGTCGCAAGGGCAGAAGGTCCCGCGTATGTGCCCTGAACACGACAACGAGCAGAACATGTTCGGCATGTTCATGGCTATGCCCGCTACGCCGGAATTGCTAGGAGGCTGGGCCGGAGCCGGAGCCGGAACCGGGGGCGACTTTTCAATGTTCAGCAGCATGGCAGCGCCCGCAAAGCCCGCCGCGTCCAAATTCACGCAGGCAGATGCGAGTCTTGTTGCGCTTTGGGGCAAGCTGAAATCTGCAACTGTGAATCTGGGGGATGATTAGATCGTGTACCCTAAGCAGATACAAACATGATGATATGAATTTTACGCCTTGACTGATGGCATCGCAACTACCTCTTAGCCTTATGCACCGTGACACTCATGCATTTATTTTGGCGCAAACCAAGTAGCTTTCCTGAAGGTAAGAAGATCCAACGAAGAGCCTGCGTGTGCTTGGGCGTGATATTAAAGCGATTAAAGTTCCTGATCAAGGAAAGAAATAAAACACCCCCGTATATGACAACCATCTGGGACCATCCCAATCATAACTCAAAACCAACAGAGGTGTTGTGGTTTGTGAGTGGTTCCCTCACCAATTTGCCTCGTAAAAACCACAAATGTTACCGGAATTGCTGTAGCACATGTCTAGGAGGACATGTCGTCAGAAGACAGAACCCCCACCCACTGAAGAGAGCATCGAACAACAAACCAACACCGATGAGTCGCTCCTACAAACGATCATGTGTCATGTCAAAGAGCCGTCGACATGATGACGATTGACTAGCAAACAGGTTCGGACGAGTAACTTCAAGAAGAAGCCAGGCGTTACCATTTGCTTCCTTAAAACTATAAATACACGCTTTGCTCTCTTTTCCACTTCTACTTGAAGAAACCTAGACTCCCCCATATGACACCACCAGCAAGATACCACACATTAATTATACGCACTTTTCACTACCTTCGAAGTTCTTATTTAAAATGTCTCAACTGCCGCGCAAACATTTTGGTGGAATACTCTCGCCTGAAGACAATTTGTGAGAAGATTCTGGGCGTTTGCTGCACAGACCGCTAGTCTTTTGCCCTGCAGGCACCCTCTTTGACAGCGGTTCTGGCACTTCCCAGAATCCCCTCGTTTGCAGACCTTCCTCCTCTTTGTATCGCCAGCTCTATATATCTGGCGATCCCTTCCAGCCTCAGTTAGCTGGATCCCTCAATCAACATCATTCCCATCATTCGTGATCCATCTCATATGACGCCATTTCCCTGTCTCTTGCGGCCACCACGGCGAGCACGGCGTTTCCTCTGGGATTTGGAAGATCCGTTAACCGTCTCACTGGTGCCAGAAGATGCTGCTGCTGTCTCCTCCTTACGCTGAGTGCGCTGGAACGTCTTTTCCTCACGCACGGCTTGTCTTGAGTGCCATTGCCGTGCTTTGTCGGCTATATGGACTGCACAGTTGATTTTGCAACAGTCCTGGTATCTTGTGTGAGGAGATTCCATGCATTCACGCGTATATCCGTCCTTCAGGACGAGTCTCATAAGACGACCACCGCCTTCGCTTTTGCGTGGGGTACAAGTGTCCCAGATGCCAATAGAGAGACCTTATGGTAAGTAGCTCGTACTGGTACGGGTACACCATCTTCCCAAATGCGCTGGGGAAAGTGGTCGTGTTCCATCTTGTAAGACAAGTGCCATGGGCATGCGTCGTACAAACAATGGATCCAGGCGATCTTGCCGTGTGATGAGTGCCCAGGATGGACCTGGGGGTGATCTCCTACTTGTGATGACCATGGGTTACCGCATACGACATAAATGTTGGCTTCGAAGGCGGGCACTCCAATAGATTGGAAAGACTCCCTTGGGGGGTATGGTTCGATGAAGGAGTCTTCTTCTTCCACAAGTGCGGGGTAGGATTCCGTTTGGAGTTGTTGTTGATACTTTTCGTCCAGGTTGAATTCGTGGGTCCACTTGCTCTCATGTCTGATCTTCTGCTTAAGACCTTGCAATGCGGCCTGAATGAAAGCGATGAGTTCTTCATGTCTCTTCTGGGAATCCTTGAAGGTATCTTCGTAATCCCGTCTATCTTGCCGGTGGATGTGGCGTCGCTGGCGGTTATACGCGAGTTGCTGTATTTCCAGTTCCTTGATTCTGGTCTGATTGACGTCCGCCAAACGGTTGAGGTAGGCTAGCTAGGCCTGTAGCTCCTCGTTGCGATCCATCTGGTCTGTCGTGTCCGTGTCTGATCCCGATTTCATGGCGTCGGAGAGGTCAGTATGGACAGTAGGTTTTTCGCGTTCAACGGTGGCAAGTGACCATTCTTCGCGTTCTTCAAAGATGCTGGCGAGCAGTGTACGCGGCGTGGGTGGCACGGAGTGACTACGAGGTGGGGCTCCCAACGAAACATATGAGTGCGGGGCTTCGTTTTCTTTATTGATGTCGTTGCCCCGGATGTATTCTTTGTGATTACTTTCATACCCGTATGCTTATTCATATTGATCGTATTCTTCGATTGTCATGTCGTCAGTCGACTCGTTGATCCCGTCGAAGTCCACTATAGCAATGGTGCGGGGAGGCTCGTCATTAATGAGGGCGGCGAGGGCATTGGCGAAGTTGTAGTCGATCTCAATATTGTCGATTTCCTTGGGCTTACCTCTGCCCTTGCTGACGGAGTTGGTAGAGTGAGTCGGAACTGGCTTCCAACCGCCGGGCTTGCGGTTGTTGTTGCCTCCACTGCGACAGTCGCGGGCGAAGTGTCCTGGTATGTCACATTTGAAGCACTTCTTGTCCTTGCTCGGACCGCCGCCACCGTTCTTACGGTTCTCAATGGCATCCACGTCCATGGGACCAGGGTGAGTGCCGTAAGCGGTGCTGCGCGTCTTGTTGTTGTAACTGTTGCCGCCGCGTTGATAACGGTAGCCCGTGTTGGCGCGAGGGCGGCTGTCACCCGCACCCTTTTCTTTCTTGCGTTCAAAGAGACGGTTGTCGATGACGATGGCCTCGTTCATGTATTCGTCGAGGCTCTTGGACTTGCGATCGATCTTGATGAGCTCGTCTTTGACGTCGCTCTTCAAGCCTCGATAGAACTGATATTTGAGACTTTCGTCGTTCCAGTCGACGCGGAAGGCGAGCTGTCTGAACTCGGCGGCGTAGGACGCGGCTGACTTGGTCTGGCGGAGTTCATTTAGCTTGGTCTCAGCCTGCCGAACCTTGTCGGCAAGGCCGAAGACCTGATTGATGGAGCTCTCGAAATACTCGAAGTCGGTGAAGGTCTTTCGAGTCTCGAGATGCATTTCGTCCCAATGGTGATTCAGGTAGTCCGCTTGAGTGGGCTGGAACCACTCGAGGGCCTTGCCGGTAAGGTACGATGAGGCGTACAGAACCTGCTGGACGGGGTCCTCGGTGTGGGTGAAGCGGAGGTTGGCGCGGACCTGGGTAAGGAAGCCTTGGAGATCTTCCTTCTTGGTGCCATCAAACTTAGATGGAGCGTTGAGCTTGATAGTGCTCTTCGGGGCAGTGACGAGAGTCGACGGCGGGATTGCTTCGAGGTCGTTGATCTTGGTGCGAAGCATGTTGATGATGTTGCGCAGTTCGACATCGTCAGTGTCTTTGGTGATGGCAGGGACTAGGGTAGCCCTACGGGTGCGAGCTTTTTCTCTGGCAAGAAGCTCGGCGGCCTTGACTTCGTCACCGTTGTCGTCCACAATACCGGTCATGGCCTCAGTGCCGGGACCAGGGTTTCTGGTCGCGGTACCCGGGAGGCCAGCTCCAACGGGTCCTCCAGCCTGAGGTTTGCCAGCCGGGATTCCAGACATGATGTCGGTGAGGGAGTAAAGGTGAGTGAGGAAAACTTTTGATGGTTTGAGGAGACTTTGGGTGCAGCAGCAAATCCCAGAATACTAGTGTGCAAATTGATGAGCAAGCAACGTGTGACGAACCGTTACAAGCACAGGAGTATATCGCTGGGAATAAGAATAACGGTCGCAGTAGCCAAAAGGTACTGATCGATTGTGAAAGCCATTGCTTGCTGAAGAGCCAGTATCTAAAGGGGCCTGGGAAGACCGTCTTTATATACCGGCCTTCATGGACCCGATATACCGGACCCGTGGACCCGAACCTTCGTCTCGGGTCCCCGGGGACCCGAGCTATAGACCCGGAGCTTCGGGTCCAACCTGATTGGTCTGTTGGTTCTATTTGGTTTAGCTTACATAAGTGATCCCTGATTGGATCGTAACAGCCACATTGCAGTGGCGCGCGTTGGCAGTATCGCCTTGATCCAGCTCATTGATGATGCCGCACAGCAACATAGTCTTCCCTTTGCCCGGGTCGCCCTTGATCCAGAGCAGTCGGTGCAGTGAGTCGTCGCGCCATTGTTGAAAGTCAGCGTTATTGAGGACCCAACGATATGAGTCCTGCAAAAGGCCGCCTTTGGTCCGTTCGATGCGGACTTTATCATCGCGAGGATCGGTAAGGCGCAAGTGCTTCAGGCATTGCTGGTCCTTCTCTGACATTGCATAGCTAACGAGCTGCTCGAGATGAGACGTCCCTTTCCGAGTGGTGTATGTTTGGGCGTCTGTGTCGAAGCGCTTCTCGGCGTCTTGGATAGCCCCCAAATCGGCATTCCAGTCGTCAAGCTTGACTATATCTCGGAGAAAGGCTAGGCCGCGGTTGCGATAATAAGCACAAACACTCTTAATCTGGTAAGAGAGGAACGCTTTGTAGAGGTCAACAATTTGGATCTTCAATTCGCCTCTCATTCCATTGAGTTCGCTGATGTTGGTGGGGTTGAGAAGGCTATTCGACGAATTCCAATACCAGTTCATTCTCTGAACAACGTAGTCGATCCCTTTGCGGTTGGCTTCGGTCGCTTTTATAGGATTGAGAAACATCTACAGAGGTTAGCATGTGAAGTATCATATCACGCTCCAAGTAGACATACCTCTAAAGCGATACAAATGCCGGTCCAAGCGAGCGCGGCTTGGGGCACGGCCTGGATTGCCGCACTTATAATATTCTTAGCGGATAGAACAAGATCCACGGCTACACCAAGGCTTTCTTTCACCTTAGCTTCCTTCTTAGTCTTAGTTAGGCTAGCATTAATAACCTGATTCATTTGACAGCGCCTGTCCGAGTTGTTTTGGGCAATGATGTTCGGCTAGGACTCGGGTACTATTTAAGTCTGGGCTAGCCTACAGCTGTCGGGACAGTATCTTCTCGTATACGTCTACCAATCCGGCCTCTTCTTATTTGAGGTCATTATAGGCACAGTCCCAGAGTCGTACGGGTAAGCTGGTAGTAGTATCATCTATACTAGCGGACATCTCGATATTAGTAGGATTAGTAGCAGGAGCGGCTAGGAGGTAAACAGTAGTATTATCCGTACCAATAGACGTCTCTATATCGGCGGAACTAGTAGGCGGAGTGGCTGGGAGCCTTGGGGCGGATATAGAGATGACAGCAGAGATTTTCTATATAGACGTCGATTCGGGTAGAGACGCAGGACAAGGCTGCTCTTGGTCTTTAGAACTTTTCTGACCCTCCGCATTTCCGTGTCGCTTAAAACGCCTCCGGAACTACGAGTACAGCCGTCGAAGCATCGCAGCTTTAAGGAAGGAACGTCTTAACTAAGGTGATGTAGTGAGGCATTCGAGGATGATCGTTTTGTCTCGGCGTTTTGTCTCGAAGGTAGCGGATGCTATGGTTGATGATCAATGGATCGAGTTTATGAAAGTGCCGGGAATTCCTCTCTCCTGCCATCTAGGACAAAACAAGGAAAAGAAACTAGAACACTGCGTTTTCTCGAGGTTATGAGGGAGCATAGGGCTCTATATTGTCACCTTGTTAAGCGCGAGATGGCTGGCAGCTCCCTCCCAACTACACGCCAATGGCCCAAAGGACATTTCTTTTTTGAGGCTGGGCATTCATGGACCTGGGTTCAGGGCGCCAAATCAATTGCCTGGGTTGGGCGAGGGTCGTGGCTTTCCGTCACGGGTCTACAAGATTGGCAATAGTGTACCAGCAGCGGCCTGGTAGTCGACGGCTCCAGCGCCGTCTACGTAGCTAGTGCCGACAGCGTGGGGTAACGCCTCAGGGGGCGCAGGCTACGCATGGGTATCGTACAACAGACTCAAGCAAGTCTTCCTCGCTATGCGAGCTAGTTTTCTCTCCTTCGTAGAACCTTATCCATTCATTACGCACAGTACCAGTGCCAACCCTACTGTCACTATTAGAAAGTCCATAATAATCAAGGTTCGGCTACTGGGAGAGATGTGGTTACGACCGCGACTGAGAATTGTGCTAGTATACCCATACCACGGATATTGCGCTTTGACAAACGTTAACGGGGCTAGCCGCAGTGTCGCCGCAGTGTCAGGACGGTCAACTTTTCTCGTAATCCGCCCAATTATATTCATCTTCTTAGCGCCGCTTCCCCACTCACCGTAATGCCTCCGTCCGAACGATATGGATATGGGAGCTGGTGGTTCAGTTTTTTGACCCTACCACGTGATTAAAAGACCCGTTTCCTGTCCTTCCCGCTCCCATAGACAAGCCGACATATCGGTGGCTTATCTATGGGAGCCATTTTTTGTAGATTATGACAGGGGTTTGGATGACTCAGCCAAAAACGCCGCCGCCGTTTCTTGCATTGCCTTCGCCATCGAGTGCACCGTTCCACTTAAACGCCAAGCCCAGCTGAGTGGGCTAGGCATACACTACACAAGGTGCTTACCCCTGCCATTTACCCCTGACTTTTTGTTGTTGTTGTTGTTATTTTTAACGTATCCATTTACCCCTGACGCCTATTCCATATACGTATTATCCAATTATTCTACAACAGACCCACTTTCTCTGGGGTGCACCAAACTAAATTAGCGTTCCGTTCCCTCGGGACACTTAAACCAAGTGGCTAGTAATTCAGTGCGAACGCAGGACCAATGATCACTCCAGCATGCGGAAGATTATTTTGCACGACTTCGAGCATCTGCTCAAGCGGGCCCAGACGCTCCACAACCGCACCACGGACGCTATTACCGTCCTGCTGTCGAGCATCTCCATCTCCGAGTCGCAGAGGGCCATCCAACAGGCGGAGGACATGGCGAAACTGACCTTCCTGGCGTTCCTATTTGTGCCGCTTTCGTTCGCTACAAGCTTCTTTGGCATGAACTTCAAGGAGCTAGATGGGAACAAAATGTCGCTCTGGTGATGGGGAGCGGGATCGGCAATCTCTCTTGTGACAGCAATATTGGCTTATTACCTGTTCCCATATGTGGAGCGGTTGAAGAAGAGAGTCAGGAGTTGAGTGATGAGGTGGTGGATATCTTGAGTTGGTCAAATAACGGCATAAGTTCCCTCGGCGGAGAAGGCCTTAGTGATAATGTTCAAACAGACGGGGTCATGGTTATATCGTCACTTTTCTCTTCTTTTCCTATTTCCACAGTCATTTTGGGGTCAAGAAATGCATTGCCCAGTTGTATTCCACGCATTCCTGTGTAGATGTTCCTAAGGATGCATATTCTGGGATATTCACTCAAGTCACACTTTCCATCACCACAAAGAGGCCGCTGGCCATCTTTGAACATCTTCGTTGTCGAAAGTCCGTCACGCAAACAACGCCAGCTCTGCCACTCCCTCACAAGACTAACAGCTCTTCTTTGCCTCTCAAAAGAACTCATTCTGCTTTCCTTCAGAAAATCTTATCCTTCAATCCCTCCAGCGCCGCATGAAAACCAACAAGCTCTCCCTCATTGATCCCCAACTCCTCAAATACCAAGAACCTTTCGCCGGCCAACGCCTTCCAGTCAGTGAACTCATCATTCCACGCCATCTGATCAGCGATCTCAATCCCCCACTCTCTCCAAATCTTGATGAACTGTTCACGGTCAATCTTACTCAACGCAATCCTTTTCTCGGGGACCAGCTTCTCGATGGCCTTGTATCCATCCGCCCACGTCACGTAATCCGTGGCCAGAACCGCAACCTTTCCATACGCCTTGGGCCCGCTGTTGATGATAGCTTCAACCACGACACCGACGTTATGGTGCAGATCACCGGCATATGGAATCAAGGTGTCGTGATTACCTGGGAGCGGAACGATGTACGCTCCTTGCGAACCGGGCTTTACGCAACGTCATTCCAATGTCAGCATTTCTTTGCCGCAAACATCACCCGTCGGATTAAACTGAACGAAACAAAGAGGCAAAGGGAAACTTACCATCTCAACCGGCTTCAAAATCGGCAACCACGCCAAAACTCCGTCGTCACCTCCCACAGCCCCGGCAATTGCTCCTTAACCCAACTCGCCGCCCTAGCCTTGTAATCAAAATGCGGCACCTCGATTCTGCCCCCACTACTTCCCTCGGCTGACGGCAAGGTGCTAATAACAAAGTGCTTCAGTCCCTCAACCTTACTCGCGGCAGTCGCGATGTTCTTGTACTGCTGCAGTTCCTCCTCGCCGGCGCCGTGCCGGCCGAGAGTGGGGAAGGAGGGCCAGTAGGCGGTTACGGCGAAGATGGCGTACGCATTGGCGAAGGCGGGACCGAGCGTGGAAGGGTCGTTGACGTCTGAGGAGACGACTTCGACGCCTTTGGAGGCGAGGGATTGAGAGGTGGCGCTGGTGGGGGAGTGGGTGAGGGCGCGGATGTGGTAGGATGGGTTTTGGAGCAAGCGACGAACAACGGAGCCGCCTTGGGAGCCGGTGGCGCCGATGACGACGATGGTTTTGGGGGTGGACATGGTGGTGAAGTGATGGGTTGGGATGGTATTGACTTGTGCTGGCTTGATGTCGCTTGGAGACGGACAGTGGAAGGGTGAATTTGGTGAGTTGCTTGATGTTGTCGTGCTGGGGGATTTTGATTCAATAGTCTTTATACTCAAGATCCTTTACCCGTCCACAATGATGCCATTTGATGCAAAATTGAAGCGTGTGTAAGTCGGTGGTCCAAACCCAGACCGTTCGGCGTTATGGAGGTGCGGATGCAGTAAGCAGCGGAAACGGAAGGATCGACCATCTCGCACACTCATGATTGGACTATTTATAAGCGCTGATTACCAAAGCCAACTTGCCTGAGTCCGAACCATCAACACAAGTCAAATGTTTGAAGTGCGAAGGTGCTGCTGTCAAGAGCTGGTAAGATCGCGCTATGTAGGTATCCCGTCGAAGCATGCTGCCGTCCCGCGTCACTATCAATACCCGTCCAAATCTATCTCTTATACTCGCACCGCCCATCCGAGTTACGTGTGCAGCCAGCGCACACCTAGTTCTGAAACGTATCAATGAAGATACAACTGAAAGGAAGGGAATAGAAGAAGTGAGGTCCTTAGTGCTGAAATGGACGTGCAATGGAAGCACTAACATTCCATGTAGAAAACTCTGTTAGCACTAACAATTACTTGTATATCTTCCTTAAACCTTAAAGTATCTAATATCTAATGTCTACAACTACCGTCTAATCTTAAAAAGAATCCATAACCCCTATATTCGGCCTCGCTACCTTCGCAACCGGCGCATCCCTCAAACTAACCACCTTCCTTTTATCTACCGCCGGCTCTCCGATATAGACTCCTGTGCTAGCATCCCCCTCCTCCTTACCAAATATTGGTACACTGTGCCCACCAGCACCCGCTACTGCTTCAAACCCAGCATCGTATACCCCCTCATCCAAACCTAAACTCAAGCTCCTCTTCATCCCACCCCCACCAACTCTAATCCCAAGATCCAACTTATAATTAATATCCGGACACCCCTCGCACTTTTGCGCGCCATCCCATAGTTCCCATGCCAAGCATGTCTGCGGGATGATCGTCTGCTCCGCCGCATGCAAAGTCCAATACTGCGCGAGATGATAATTGAAAATGGTGGGTGCGTTGATAGCCGCGTAGAGCCGATAGCCGCACCGAGCGCCCCAGCAGACCTGGGCCGAGGCGTCTACTTGACCGTTGTCATTACCGTTGTTGACGTTTGCTTGGGCGTCGGCGTGGATAGTGGCGTAGGCTTCTATGCCTAGTTCGGCCTGTTTTTTTGGGGCACGGGGGAACGAAAAGGTTAGAAGAGGTTGGGTTTTTGTTATTGTTGTTGGTAGGTATGGGAAAGGGTGAATGAAGGCCGGGACAAAAAGGGAGGGAAATAGATAAGGTAGTGAATGAGCATACCGAAACGTCGGGAACGTCAATCGCCCATGTGAGTCCAAACGAGACGACCGGCTTCATGGTCACGGTTAGATAGCCGTGGGCGTCGACATCGGCATGGAAGGTCGGCTGCGGGAAGCCGCTATCGTTAGGCGCGGCCTTGTCGAAGAAGGAGGTAGCGCCCGAGTGTTTCTTGGGCGGGTTTTGGGTCACACCCATGGTGTTGGGGTATTGCTGGGTGTATTCCCACTCAGCTATCTTGAGGGAGACTGCTGCTTCACTGTTGTTGAGAGAGAGAGAGAGAGAAGTGAGATGGGTTAGTCGTGGCTCGGGTTCAGGTTGATATCATAATGTGGACAAGAAGACAAAGGGTGGGTAGGTAGGTACGTACGTGTGCAGGGTTGCTTCGCCGTCTAATTGCTGTATTTTGCGTAAAGAAGAAAGAAGGACAAGGTTAGTCTCAGATTCATCAGAGCTGCGTCATGCTTGTTGGCCGAAAAGAAGTCGGGCTGAAAGGGACGGAACAGGTTGTCGGAAACTTACAGCTTTGACCCGCAGATTGGGCCCAACTGTCACGAGGCCAGGAATGCTAAAAGTCGCTCCAAACTTGTCGAGACCAAAGAGTTCCACCTCGTCGCTGTTGAAGGCCATTCTTGCAAAGGCCCAAAGGTTTAGCGTAGTCTTGATCTCGCCTTTGGATCGAAATAGCATGTGTGACTCTCTCCAGGAACTCATGTCGCCGAAATCGCCCTGTTGATGCGTACGTAAGTAGTCAAGGTTAGCAGAGGTCCACACCAAAGCAAGTACCTAATAAAAAGGGAAGGAAAATGCTGCTGCCGCTTACAATCAAGTTCAGCTCAGCAGTCGTTTCGACATTGATATCGAGGTCAGCCCAAACTTTCATGTACATCTCGGTAGGGATACCCATCAGCTCGCATATCTGAGTCCAGCTAAAGAGGTTCCACCTCACTCGGTCATTCACCGAGTAAGAAGCAACCTCGAATGTTTCGTCAACCTTGGAGAACCGATCCATCCACCGGGCAAGATCGTATGAGAACCAGCGTGCATGTAGTTCATGCAGCTCATGCTCGGGTGTCGAGCGCCTGTCGAGCGAGAACTTGTGATCCAAAAAGTCGGGCCATGAACCCTCGTGGTTTCGGTCCACCTCCTCTTGCATCTCCCGCTTGACCACCTCAAAATCGGAGCGCGACTTGATGCGCCGTTTGTAAATGCCGGGCTGAGCTGCAACAATTTCCGCCCAATAACCCGGATCGGTCGAGTAATCGATGCGAATTTTGACCCTCTCATCGCCGCGCTTAACGATCGGGCTGTAATCGTAGTCATAGGTAAAATCATAGACGCAGGGTGTGGATATGCCTCTCTTTTCCAGGTGTTTGCCCAGTACCCCAGGTATTTCATGATCGGTTGACGGAGTCATGGAGACCGCCACGGCATATTTGCCCGGCCCGCAACCACCAGGCATCTTTGACAATTGTGCCTGCTACTTGGCCAAGAAAGATGTCACCGCAATTGCTGGAGTCGGATTCGTCGGTGCATACGGCTTTGACAGTTCGCCGGTCTTCATGGGGTCTGTCATCGCAATCGTAAAGTGCCCAATGTGAGCCGTCCCGCGCGCTAATGGTTGTTACCGAGTCCGGTGGTCCTGTTTTAAATAGGTAGCATCTGTCAGTTTGCATTTGTCTGTATTCTGCTTGGTAGGCATGCAGTGCCTGGTTTTCAGGTATATTGATAGGAGAGGGATCTTAGGTATGTTCGTTGTATTGGAGCTTACCCGAGATAATGTGCCAACCAAAACCGTTATTGTTGGCATCCTGGTTGACGTCCTTTGTCGATTTCACGCTGTCAATCTTGATGTCGTAGTTAACGTTGTAGTCGTCCATTGTATCTGGGTTATATGTGTCAAAAAGATATCTGTGTGCAAAACGACCAGTTAGCTTTCCAAGGTATCTCGGAGAAATTGGATCAGACTGATAAAACCAGCGGGATCAACCTACTCGAGGGGAACAGGAAGATAATCAGTTCGCTGTACGTGACCGCATCACGACTGTTGTTAGCATGTACGCTGTCATCCAAAAAATGTTTCGGCGGACAGGGGGGGAAACAATGATGAAGCCCAAGAACTTGGTCTTGGTTACGCTGAACTCGCACTTCTTGATATCGGCTTGCAGCCCAGCTTCTTCGAGGCGTCGTAGCACCATGTCGACGTGTTTATTATGGTCCTCCTGGTTATCGGAATAGATCAAGATATCGTCGATGTAGGCGCTGCAGAAGTTGTCGAGGTAGCCCATCAAGACTTCATTGATGAACCTTTGGAAAGACGACGGTCCTCCCGTTAGGCCGAATGGTAACACCTTGTATTTGTAAGCTCCGTACCTCGTGCGGAACGTTGTCAAATCTTCGTGATCTGGATGTATTCGGATGCGGTGGAATGCTTGTCGAATATCTACCTTCGTAAAGATCTTGGCTTGGCTAATGCGGGCCAGTGTCTCATCGATGAGTGGAAGGGGGTATCGGTCCTTCTTCGACAACGCGTTGAGTTTACGGTAATCCACGCAGAAACGCAGACCTCCATTGGCTTTGGGAACAAACAGAACAGGGGCTGCCCATGGTGCTGAGCTTGCTTCAATGAAACCCTTTTGAAGGTTTTCAGTAATGTATTGACGACATTCCTCCAGCTCCTCCAGAGTCATCTTGTACAACGAGTTGTATCCGAGATCCTGGGGACTCTTTCCTTCCTCAAGCTCAATCTTGTGGTTGATCTTTTCTTTAAGCTCTGGGAGGGTATCTGAGTCTTTCTTGCTGAAAACATTGATGCGATCCCAGTGTTTCTTCGGCAACTTCTCCATCACCATGTGACGAACCGTTACAAGCACAGGAGTATATCGCTGGGAATAAGAACAACGGTTGCAGTAGCCAAAAGGTACTGATTGATTGTAGAAACTAGTTGCTTGCTGAAGAGCCAGTATCTAAAGAGGCCTGGGAAGGCCGTCTTTATATACCGGTCTTCATGGACTCGAACCTTCATCTCGGGTCCCCGGGGACCCGGGCCATGGACCCCTCCCTTCGGGTCCTCTCCCTTCGGGTCCTCTTTCTTCAGGTCCTCCCTTCGGGTCCTCCCTTCGGGGTCCTCTCCTTTCGGGTCCAACCTGGTTGGTCTGTTGGTTCTATCTGATCTAGCTTACATAAGTAATCCCTGATTAGATCGTAACACCCGAGATGAAGGTTCGGGTCCATGAAGGCCGGTATATAAAGACAGCCTTCCCAAGCCTCTTTAGATACTAGCTCTTCAGCAAGCAACCAACTGATACAATCGACCAGTACCTTTTAGCTACTACCACCGTTGCTACTCTTTGTTCCCAGCGATATACTCCTGTGCTTGTAATGGTTCGTCACACGTCAGCCGCCAGCATATGTAGGTATAGTAGCCAGGACGAGATCCTTGGGTATTGGAGATTCGGCCCTAAAAGCCTATATGGGAACGGTTCCAAACTACTAAGAACGAAACGATCCGATCGCAAGCTCAATGTACCCGAATGACCCACAGCTATAAAAAGGACAAGAAGACCCAGATAGCCAGATAATTGTGCAGTAAGCAATAAAGGTTGTTCATCACCGAGAATAGTATCTATAATTCGTAAGCGATACTCATTTTATACGTTTTGGCTATACCGAACAACACCTGATAGTCTTTACCTTCAGCTATCCCATTTAGGCAGATCAGACCTGCCGTTCGTCACACCCGTAGATGGAATCCCTTGCCTTGCTCTCGTCACCATGTTCATAAACTCCTTTCCATCATCAATGCTAGTACTTCCGACCCATTCTGGCATGTTAACGCAAGATTTCATATCTATAACATACCAACTCCACTGCTCATCAAAGCTACCTCGCAAGAAAAATTTGAATAATGGTTCAACAAACTTCCCATTAAGAAGGGTAGTATAAAATTCCTTATATCTTCTTAATAGAGCCTCTGCTAAGTCGCCTACACGTTCGGATTCCAGTAACAATGCTAGGGCCGTAAGAACGCCGTTAGATAAACTGGACTGAGCTTGCAAGACACGTAAGGCAGCCAGTCTAACTCTCGTGTCCTCGTCTCCTAAACGTGCTACTACAGCCATAAGGAGCTCATCGGATAAGCTAGACTGGGCTTGCAAGACAACTAAGGCAGCCCGTCTAACATCCAAGTCCTCGTCTCCTAAATGTGCTATTACAGCCGTAAGGAGCTCGCCGGATAAGCTAGACTGGGCTTGCAAGACATCTGAGGCAGCCCATCTAACCTCCCAGTCCTTGTCTCCTAAACGTGCTACTACAGCCATAAGGAGCTCATCGGATAAGCTAGACTGGGCTTGCAAGACAACTAAGGCAGCCCGTCTAACATCCCGGTCCTCGTCTCCTAGACGTGCTACTACAGCCGTAAGGCGCTCATTGGATAAGCTAGACTGGGCTTGCAAGACACGTAAGGCAGCCAGTCTAACATTCGAGTCCCCGTCTCCTAAACGTGCTACTACAGCCGTAAGGCGCTCATTGGATAAGCTAGACTGGGCTTGCAAGACACCTAAGGCAGCCAGTCTAACATTCGAGTCCCCGTCTCCTAAACGTGCTACTACAGCCGTAAGGCGCTCATTGGATAAGCTAGACTGGGCTTGCAAGACACCTAAGGCAGCCAGTCTAACATCCCGGTCCTCGTCTCCTAGACGTGCTATTACAGCCGTAAGGAGCTCATCGGATAAGCTGGACTGGGCTTGCAAGACAACTAAGGCAGCCAGTCTAACATTCGAGTCCTCGTCTCCTAGACGTGCTATTACAGCCGTAAGGCGCTCGTCGGATAAGCTGGACTGAGCTTGCAAGACACGTAAGGCAGCCAGTGTAACCTTCCTGTTCTTGTCTCCTAGACGTGCTATTACAGCTGTAGGGCGCTCGTCGGATAAGCTAGACTGGGCTTGCAAGACACCTAAGGCAGCCCGTCTAACATCCCAGTCTTCGTCTCCTAGACGTGCTATTACAGCTGTAGGGCGCTTATCGGATAAGCTAGACTGGGCTTGCAAGACATCTGAGGCAGCCAGTGTAACCTTCCTGTTCTTGTCTCCTAGACGTGCTATTACAGCCGTAAGGAGCTCGTCGGATAAGCTGGACTGGGCTTGCAAGACACCTAAGGCAGCCAGTCTAACCTCCCAGTCCTCGTCTCCTAAACGTGCTATTACAGCCGTAAGGAGCTCGCCGGATAAGCTAGACTGGGCTTGCAAGACACCTGAGGCAGCCCATCTAACCTCACAGTCCTCGTCTCCTAAACGTGCTATTACAGCCGTAAGGAGCTCATCGGATAAGCTGGACTGGGCTTGCAAGACACGTAAGGCAGCCCATCTAACCTCACAGTCCTCGTCTCCTAAACGTGCTATTACAACCGTAAGGCGCTCGTCGGATAAGCTGGACTGGGCTTGCAAGACACCTAAGGCAGCCAGTCTAACATCCCAGTCCTCGTCTCCTAAACGTGCTACTACAGCCGTAAGGAGCTCGTCGGATAAGCTGGACTGGGCTTGCAAGGCCAGTAAGACATCCCTTTTCCCGGTTATAAATTCGCCGTCTTCTAGCCAAGAAGTAACCAGAATGACGATGGGTGGCGGGATCGTTGGTCGTGTTGCTACCCACTTCAAAATTGTGAACTTTTCATCGATCCCTACTTCCTGCAAGGTTTCCAACAAAGCTGACTCTGGAAATTCCACCTCGCTTGCTAGACGTGTTTTGCCTGTGAATTTATATTCAAAGAGTAACCACTCTTTTAGCTTGACTTCCAGCCTCTTTCGCAGTGACATCTCCGTTGACACTTCGCTCAAACAATGTATAACCAGCCGTTGGTGCGTAGGACCTAACAAATCATGCGGTTCGTCCTCGATCGCTTGGAAAAACTTCTCTGCCTTGCCTTCGGCATCAAAAAAGCCGGCAACAAAGCGCCATAGGATGTCGTAACGGGCTGTGTATTTGTTCTCGCCAAGAAACTGGATAGCCTCGATGAAAGTAATATTTTCATTCTTCTGACCATTGAGTGCCAGGCATTTGAGGCGCTTGTTAGCCTTCCATTGCCGTACAAAATACCTAGCCGCAAAGTACTCTTGGTAGGTCAGATGTAGAAAGTGATAGGTTCGGTAGCTGGTTTCCATCAAATCTGATGTTCGGAGAAAGGAGAGGTGCGGCATGGTCTTACTGGGTAAGAAACCGGGTAAGATGTCGGCAAAGTGGTACAATATTTGGTCGAGATGTCTTGAGTCGAATTCAATTGTATCATTCTGCAACCCGGTAAAAGCAAGGATCTCTAGAAGTAAAATCTCGGTTGAAACGAGATTTTCAATTTCGGTCCAACCAGACTCTTGGATGTAAGCTGCTTCCACTAGCTCGTTGTCGTGCTTCTTGCCTAACCGTAGGATATCCTTCTTCCATAGACTTTGATCGATGGCTTGGTAAACATCCGTCATGGTGTTAAGTTTGGAGCTGGAATTAATACTTCCGTTCCAGGCGAAACAAAGCGCATCTAGCTGGATTGGGATCCGCATAAGGCCTTGGAGAAGGCTGCGAGCGTTTAGGAATGACTGAACGCGGACAGCTGTGTCTGAGTATTCGGTGAAAACCTTGTTGATATAAGCCTCCACTTGGTTTGGATAGAACCCGATCGTTTCCAATTCGAGATGCAGGCCAGCCAGAGGCTTGCCGTACGGCCGGGAGGTGATGATGACGTTCGGCTGGTCTAGCAACACATCAAGGAAGCTAGACATACCGCCTTCGCTCAAGCCTTGCGATACCTCATCTAGCCCATCAAGGAGAAATAAAGTCCTGCTCCTCTTCTCCGGTGCATCAAGCAATGTGTTGTATAATGCTTGGGCAAGGTCCTCTCTGCAATTCGCCATGGAGAAATATTCATGAATAAAGAGGTCGGTAAAGCGGTAATCAGCCCGGCGTCTGTCTTCCAGCTTCAGATTTCGCAGAGGTACCCAGAGTACGCGGTCGAATAATTCAGTCCATTTGGGCAATTCGCCATGCATGAAGGAATAGACAATCTTCTTACAAAGAGTAGTCTTCCCTACACCAGCGCGTCCTCGAATCAATATTCGTCTTGGTTGTATCTTGCGACCGTTAGGTTCTTCGCGTTCCTTGAAAAGCGATGGTAAATCGACTTGAATTGTTGCATTTGGCGTTTCCACTTTCAATCGAGCGGTGAGTGAAAACGGGGAAGATTGCGACACCGACTCTTCTTCTGATTTCTTTTTCGAACGGTCTTTATCTTCGCCGGTCCGCTCTATAATGGAGAGATTGATGTAACACTGATCCATCGGCAGTTTCGTGCCTGAGAGCCGCTCAATGTTGAGCCTATCCTTAGTATAGCACTTCTCACGTATCCAGGCATCTGCTTGCGCGAGGGGCGTTCCTTCACGGATCGTTCCAATAAAGTCTTTGATTTTTCCAGCAACCTTCTTGTAATCTTCGCATTCACGGCTGCCGAACTTGTTCATCAGACCATGAGTCCGATCGAGTGGTAGTGGCTCTAAGACGATGTCTAGTGTTGCTGAGGACCTCCCAACCAGCTGGCAAGCGTTAGTTATAGCGCGGGGATACTAGTATTTAAGATTTCTTACCGGTTTTCCTTTGAAGAACAAAGTAGGTAACCAAGGGAATATCTTGCGCCACAGACTCGTCATTCCGAGTTCATAAAAGTTGAATACTAGAAAGGGCCAGTTCGGATGCTGACAGAATCGTGTGAACTTGCGTACGAGTGCTTCAAGATCAAAGGTCGATCCTTTCACACTATCGAGTAGCTTGCTCACTTTTCGGTCGCGGATTAATGCCCATGCGGTCAGACCTGGATCTGCCCAGTGAGCTACCTCTTGGAACGAAGTCCCTCGGAACGGGGTAGCGAGGAATATAATGCCACGTGTTGCTTTCCTGAGGCAATAACAGCTCGTGGTGCATTCATGATCGGCGGCGGTTGTGAGAGCCCTCATTAAGATGATCCCCCCAAGACAAGAAGCGATAAAGAGGATTGGTCTGTCTTTTGTCTTGTTCTTTGCCAAGAGTTCTCTGTCGATGCCATCAATTAGGAGCGTAACGATCTCGCCATCAAGCTTCGGGACTAAATCTGACGGTTGAAGTAGGTCGGCAGGCCAGTCCAGTGTAAAGATACGTGCCTTTTCTACGTCGACCGGGAGCAAATCGGCTAGCCAATTGACGCCGTTGGGATTCCGCCGATCCCGCCATGTCCACGTATCCGGTGATTTTGTATCGAGGCCATGGATAGCAATAATGTCAATGTCGGTGTCTCCATTGTCCTTGTTGACTTGATTGAGATGGAAGCCTCGCTGCGTGGATCGTGTAGAATCTGAAGCAGGCTTCGTTGGAGACGACGGTGCGGTACCGGAACCCGCTGGCGCATAGAACCAAAGCCAAGCGGCGGTCGCACAGACAAAAAGACATAAGACAGTGGTCCATACCACCAAAGAAATGCCTTCATTAACGTCCATGGTAATCAAGGTTCGGCTACCGGGAGAGGAGCTTGTACGGCCACGACTGAGAATGGTACTAGTATACCCGTACGGCGGATATTGCGTATTGCCCTTTGACAAACGTTAGCGGGGTTACTCCCAAGTGGATATTGCTTTAGCCTTTGTGTTTAATAGCGTACATAAAATGTTTGATAGCGCAGATGAAGTGTTTGATACCGATCGCTTCTCGTAGGCAGAGGCTCAAATGCTTGGTGTTAAAAGTCGATATCTCGATCTGAGGGGTTAGATATGAGGGGTTTGGTGCCCAAGGTGTTGACTTGGCTTATGTGCTAGGCAGGAGCCTTTGATTGGGTGTATCTGACCATTGAGACTAGCTCGGTTAGGTACACTTTTGGTTAGCCTATCAACGGCGCTAGCGATTTGAGACGGAGAGGATTGGTTGTGCCCTATGGGGCATCTGCTGCTGCAGCCGAAATGATAGCGCGATGGGCTTCAGGCAGTAAATTAAACTTTAATGGGCTGGAGGTCCTGTTGCGCGGGTAATGGAGGGTATTTGAAGGGGATCTTTTTATTTTTCTTTTGGTATTACGCTCTATCTATATATTTCCTTACTTTTATAAAAGCATCAACCGCGCAGTTGGAGTTCTAGTGCAATTATATAGACGTAGCTACCACCGACTGAAGACGAGAAACGGCACGAAATACCAACGCCGCAAGTACGATCATCATCACCATAAACGCGATAACACTTGAGCCGGACATGGACCAAAATCCCCCATCAAGTCCAAACCGGATAACATCCTCCGACAGTTCCAAACCTCAAATCCAAATGACATACAGAACAGTACGTCCTACCTGTTGGAGGTAACGTGATGAGGCAGCACAAGTGGCAGTGAATGTGGGGGTGAATTTGGTGTATTGATTGACTTGAGAGAGAGAGAGAGAGAACAGAGCGGGGAGGACGAAGTCCGACGTGGTTTATATACAGGGTGGCTATGTGTGGATCGTATCCACTTAGACAGAAGCGCCAAAGAATGTGATGGCTTCAACACTACCAATTGCCATCCTCATCGTTCACTTCCACTTGACGTCCATGTCCTCGCCGAGCACTAACAGCCCATCCTATCAGGTATCATCAACTCCTTTCCAATGTGCGCCCTTCTACCTCCTCCCATCCAACTTTTCAAGCAACGACACGTTGTGGTCGCTGACCGCCACCTTCCCCCAACTTGAGCTTCACTCTCCTCAGTTTCCAAACACAAGCGGGATCACTCTAGGCGACAGTCCGGTACTGTTATCCATCAAGTGTTGACGACACTCCTCAACGCCCCTCATCTGTTCGACCATCTCTGGTCTGCAACGACACCCGTGCGAAAATGTCCGGGGTGGACATCATCAGTCTCGTATCCAGCATCATAGCTATCATCGACGCAGCCATAAAGGTTGCCAACGCCTGCCATGATGTTAACGGACTGCCTGAAGGAATGAGGGAAGCGCGTGTTCGGCTACCACTGGTGGCGAACACGCTCAAGCGGGTTAGAAGCGGCATAGAGGTTAGCGAGGATAAGGGGTCCCAGGTGCCTCCTCCGTAGTTAACCATAGTAGTCTGCCATCGCCGTAACAGATTATAGGCACGGTACAAGGGCAGCGTTTATCGAATTCCACTTTCCCGACGCCAGGCTGTGCCTTGCATTACGTCCGAGAGAATGGGTCCATATTGGCCCAGCCGCATTTGACCTTCTAGGCTCGAGAGGTATCATTACTGCATTCTTATATGGCTACTTCTTCGGCCATGGGTTGAGCAAGGGGGATTTGGAGCTCAGATTGGCCTCAAACTGGTCTTCGTTTGTAATCACTGATAATGACCAGGGTTTATTACGCCACGAAAGCCTCTTTTCTGTCTCTATCCGTCTATTCTTATGCCTCTATCCGTCTCCTTCGAGCTCCCAAAGACTGGAAGAGATAAGAGGGCAACCCCCTACGGCACCTGTCCGCTCAAAGCCTCCCGAACCTTACCCTTCCTTCCCCTGCCTTCAACCCCCTATCTTCTTCCTCCCTCTTCCTCCCTCTTCCCCTAACTTGCTCTTCCTCTAACTTGCTCTTCCTCTCTCTATCTTTCCTCATCTATTATCATGGCACCTCGTCAGCTGGCCTGTATGTACAAACTGCGGGATCGAATCAATCAACTGGATTCAATCCCAACCAGGTACCGCAGCCTATTGGAGCATCGTCTGGTTATTGCGTGCAGTGAATTCAAGCGCCAGGACACGAGAGACTGACAGCCTCGCAAAGTCATTCGGCGTTGGTCCCGACTACTCCTTCTCCTCATTTTCACTGCCAATGCTCGCCAAAGCCAGACAATGGCGGCTATCAAAAGCTTATTTCACTGCCTCAGAAAGGCGCAACACATTCTCTTCTCTCTCGTTGGACTGGCGACGTCCTTTACATCAAGCCTGATGTCAGCGTGCCACATCAACTTTTCGTCTTTCAAGGATCAAATGCAGCTTTGATGCTGCAATGGAGGACATGCCAAAAAGGCAACCAGAAGGTTCACTTCGGGTAGCGTTTGTTTTGATATCAAGGCTTCCAGCCTCGCTTCGAGCCAAGCCCCATGCAAGTATGCCAGGGGGCCGGGGGTGCTGACACGGGCCCCTGCCCAGGCTTAAAGCCATCCCACCCTAGCTGCCGGCTTCTGATCCTAGAGCTGTGGTTGCCTTGTCGCTCTCAACGCCGCCGTCACCTTGTTGCGCAGCCCTGGCATGCAGCTCTCTCAGCCAATCGACTCGTCTACTGACCGAGTGCAATCTTGGCAGTGTCAGGACAGTCAACTTTTCTCGTAATCCGCCCAATTATATTCATCATTTTAGCGCCGCCTCCCCACTTACCGTCTTGCCTCCGTCCGAACGATATGGATATGGGAGGTGGTGGTTCAGTTTTTTGACCCTACCACGTGATCAAAAGACCCGTTTCCTGTCCTTCCCACTCCCATAGGCAAGCCGACATATCGGTGGCTTATCTATGGGAGGAAGTTTTGACAGGGGTTTGGATGACTCAGCAACACCCTCTGCCGGGATATGAATGTTAGGGTGAGTACGTCGATCCTACAGAAAGTAGGGAGGTTAGCGGCTGGGCACTTTTCTGTAGGTGCCACGCTGTGGCCAAAGTCAAAAACTAACCTTTCATAGAAGCGTTTCCAGAAGCGTTTTCATCCCATCACTCACGCCAAGCTCACCAAATACACCGTTTCCACCTACTCACGCCAAGCACGGCTAAGGCTATGAGGCAGGCTAGCACGTTGAAGGTTAATTCTATATTAGGCTTCGATACCATGGTTCTATGGGAGCACACGGTGACCTTTATTCTCCAGCGGCGCGGGCATAAAGTTGTAGAACTCGCTGTCCTGTTCTGGGTTATCACAACCAAGTGCAAAGCCGTAGGCGGAATTCTGAACCAGAGATGTCGGAGTGGCAGTAACGACCATTCACAAGACTGAGCTTCTTCCCATCAGTTAGCATGGTTAATCCAGAAAGAGGGATAGCATTTCGTCACCCATACGAGCCGAATTACTCCCTAGTGTGAAGTCAGTCTTGGAGTACCTTCTGTCATGGGGCTGGCGCCCAGTACTGGCATCTGGCATATCGTTGGCCAGACGACTGACGCCAAAGACCTCTGGCATCCCAGTGACCACAGTGACCATGGCTCGTCCAGACCGGGCGGCTGCCTCAGGCAGTCAGGCACCCATGGAGTCACGTGCACACGCGCAACCTCTTGAGGACGGGTGGCCGGGTCTGCCCTGCGGGCCTCTCTCTTTCTCCCTTTTTCTCTTCGTAGAACCTTAATTGACCCTTCTGGCCAGCACCTGCGTACTGCTCTGCTGTCCCCTCACACCTTCAACACCCAGTCAGTGGTATAAAGCCGCATGTTAAACCGCGATCCCCCGCATCTAGACTAGGGAAGACCATGTAGCTGTGGCGACGCTACTACAAGTGTGTTGGCTCTCCCAAACACCACCAAGGAAGAGACCACTTATCCGATCGTGGAGAATCGAGGCCTCTACCATTGTACCAAGCTTGGCCATGACTGGGCAGTCACGGGTTAATCCCGTGGCATCTGGACCGCACAGGCACCTACAAAAGGAGAATCAAGGGATGGAATAGTCTTACTTCGTAATGAAATACGTCATCTTGACAACAGTAGAAGGTTACCAGAATTTACAAAATTCCTATAAATTTGCCTATCCTCCCAGACACTTCTGGTGGCACGCTACAAAAATGAAATAAAGGAAAAGCAATAGAGAAAGATATGGAATTCATTATATGTCTTGCGAGAAACCAATAAACTAAACTCGTCCTAACTCGGTACCGATAGATATCATCCGTTCCTGGAGGTCATGTGGTGGGCTAGGCATACATTATCCTGGCTGCCTCATCGTCAACCTTCACAAACCCGAAACAGATCCTTGGCTACTTGTTGCAGGAACTTGTAAAGTCACTACATTGCGTAACAGCTAAGTCACCTTACTACAACGCAATTTCCAACTTTATGTTCAGCCTTCCGTCGATTCAGATGGCGTGGTCAAGAGCGGGCAGGGGGAAGAAACAGACGAAGGGAAGGGCGAGGCGTATCTATGTGCCTTGGTGGCGCCCTCGCTGCTGCCTGGGTCGTATGGGATCAGTCTGTGGCGGCAGGTGGTGGTCAGAGTGGACGAGATGGAGGCCGAGGTGTTGCTTGAGTGGGACGAGGCGACACGGTATTATTACATGACTGTTTAGGTGAGATGGGAAACCCCGGTATATTCTTGTTGGATGGTCCGGATCAAAAGGAGGCTACGAAAGAGAGAAGCGTGGAGGTCTAAGCAATGCATCTCATGGTCTCAGCAGTTCCCGCCCGCACACCCGATCGAGTCAACCCCCTGCAGATGGCGGTGCAACTCGGCAAACTGCGCCTCATTCTTGAACACCGTCTCCTCCACCCTCTCTAGCGCCTGGGGATACTCTGCCTGGAGCAGTTCCCTCGACTGCTTGCGTGCCTTGGCCACGGCCTCGGGGGCAAACTTGTCCTGGATGAGCTTTGCAAAGATGGCGTTGAATTGGGCGCTTATTTCTTGTGGAAGAGCATCCTGAATCCCGTTCAGCGTACTGATTGTGCGGTGCCACAGGTTCATCACGGGAAAAGAAGAAAGGGGCAATCCTTACCTGCAAATAGCTGCCGAAATCCAGGCTCGGCACCCACCACTTCTGTTCGAGCTTGAGATCGGCCGAGGGGTCTTGCTTTTGCAGCTCCTCCACCCGCGCGGTCATTGCGGCTAGCTGCTCCTCGCGCGAAGGCAGCTTTTGCTCAGAATTCGCGGCGCAGCTGGAGGGCACGTCCGCCGCGCCGCTGGTTGTCGGGGCACTCATGTTGTTAAGGGGGGGCCAGCAGATGGCTAGGGGAATCCGTCTTTGGCGAGCGCAGGAGGAATCAGGCGGATGGGATGACGTTGCTGGGATAAAGGATGGCAAGGAACTGGCGAGAAACAAAAGGGGACGACACGAGGCCAAGCGGGGAGGGTGCTGAGCACTCTATATGCTAGAGTCACCCCTCTGGTTGCATGTGGCAGTGTGGCACAGGGCGGGTGAGCATTCTGCCTATTGGCCAGAAGTTCGTTTGCAAAATGCCAACAAGCTCGGGGGCACATGGTAAGGTACATGGCACAACCAGGTACCTGGACTATCGCTAAGCACATACATGCAAGCCGGAAGCAGATCTTGGATCTCCCACACCCCCGCCCACGGCCCACCACCCACCAAGAAACGACCGCCCAACGGGTCTCTTCTGAGTCTACCCAACCGAGCCAACTTCATGGCAAACGGAGGTACAACTCCTTCAGCTTCTCAAAGTCCGGCGTTCCCAACCCAGTCACAGCATCCCACGCCCGCCTGGCGGGGAACGCCTCGCCGACTCCGCACCCGTGATTCTTGCCCAGCTGCACATCGCGCAGCACGCCCGCCTTCCGCGCAGCGGCAGAATACAGCACAGGGTTGAGAAACCCGACGGTGCTCTTGCCGGCGTGCAACCGCGCGTCGTTGATCTTGGCCACCATGGCGGCGACGACGGGCGTCGACGCCGACGTGCCCGACACGGCGCGGTACCCGCCGTGCAGCGCGACCAGAAAGCTCCGCGCCATGGCCGAGATGTCCGGGTAGCCCCTGCCCGAGCCGTTGAAGTAGCCCTGCCGCGCCAGCTCGGCGGCGCCCGGCGCGGAGGCCAGGTACTCGCGCGTCAGGTTGCCCTGGTACCACGGCGCCGGGAAGAGGCGGCTGAAGCCGCCGCCGGACGACACGGTGCTGTTGTCGTCGAGCGCCGTCTCGCCCGGGAACGACGACGACGGCACGCCACTACTAGCCGTCGTGCTGCTGCCGTTGGAGACGACGGGCAGGAACTGCGTGCCGCCGACCGACGTGACCCACGGGCACGAGGCGGGGAAGACGGACGCAAAAAACCCCTCGCCGGCCGTGCTGTTCCTGGGGTCGTCCCGGTCGATACAGTAGGCCAGCTGGTCGGCGGGCCCGCGGTCGGCCGAGCCCGTCAGCACCTTCACGCCCTGCAGGCCCAGCTTGAGGAACTCGAGGCACTGGCGGTGGGCGTACACGTCCGAGTACCAGGCCTCGTTCCACGCGTACATGATGGCGACGACGCGCGGCGGGACGTGCGTGCCGCAGTCGCTCGCGTTGTAACCCCCCGGCGCCGGGTCCGGGTACACGGGGTCGAACTGCGGGTCCAGGCCGGTGCGGCAGTAGTGCGCGTTGAAGGCGGCCAGCATGATGTTGAGGTTGCCCTGCACCACCAAGTCGCCCACCTGGATGTTGGTCAAAAAGATAGAAGGGGTATATATAGTTGTCTTTGACGATAGAAGCTGGTTTTTAAATTTAAACTTTATGTTTTACTCATTGTATTGGCCCATTACATCTTCTCTCCATACGAACACTAGCACTATGAATAACCCTGCAGATCTATAAATGTTCGAGGATTTAAATCCTGAAGCTTTCTTACTTCCTCCACCACCACAATTAACGTGGTTGCCAACACTGTTCGATCCAATTGATTCGGCGTGTCCACATTGTAAAAGGTATTTCTTCCTACTATATTATATTACCTTTACTCAACTAACAAACATAGACATTTTGACAACATCGTTGTCAAACTTGAGACTTTAATATTAGAATTAATCAGAAGCGCAAGAATCGAACGTCGTTTAGAAAAAATGGATAGGGATCAGGAAAGAGATAAACGGTTGGAGGTTCTTAAAAACGACATCATGAGGATCTCTAAGATATCCGAAACGGCATTGGAATCTATAAATACTGTAGCTTCTAGTTTGGAGAGCGTTTCTGTCAACGTTACAGAGCTTTTAAAAAATACAGCGTAAATTGATAGACGATGAGTCTAAGTAAACGCCTCCCATCACTACCAAAGACAAACATAAATCGTAATAAAAAAGATGAAATAACTTATACACATTACTAGAATAAGAAAATCAACAACTTAAACTTCAAAATCAAAGGTTATTACACGAGCTGAATCAGTTAGAGTCGTCTTATTTACTACCACGCCGGAATCTTGCACGGGAATTAAAACAGCGTGACGAAATGGTTACAAATATCGCAACGACAATTATTAACGCATTCCGACAATATCAAACTATAGTAACCACGAATCCACCGTCGGGGCGTATCTCTGCCGACGATTCAGAAGAGATAAAAATCGGACTAAAACAAGAAGACGCTTGAATTCTTAGCGCGGTAACGAAAGGATCCAATGATGGTCATGGCAGAATTGAATTGCAAATCTCGAATGTAGCGAAAAGGAAACTAGACTTTAAAAGGTGATATACCCCGTAGGTGGCGAAAATAGGGGATAGCCAACTGACAATCCAAAGATAGAATACCACCTCCTACCAGCAACCATATACGTATATATACCCTAACCACCCTCTATTATCCACCTTTAACTACTCAAGCTATCCGGTCTTTTTATTCCTTCTACGACCAATTCTTTATTCTTCAACATGTCTATCACTTGCCAAGTCCGAGACTCTACCAACAGACCGTTAAAGGGAGTTTATGCTACTCTTAAACTCGTCGAACCGCTACATCCAACCGACATATATTTCGGCCAGACCGATGATAATGGTGATATCAGAGATTGGCGTCTCATGAAAGACGAAGACGACGAAAACAAACAAGGAACCCCCATCTGGGGTGTGCCAGGGAGCACTTGGCACATTGTTGTCTGTGTGGAATCCCATAAATTGCTTGGCAACACTTATCCCATCAACAAACCCCACCCGAACTTCTCGGTCACGGCTTCAGCATATCACAGCGTTAACCTCCGCATATCTAGCATGGCATACAAAATACGCCACGGACACGGGATTGTGGAGAGGCGATCCCCTACACCTTATCCTACTTTGGAATATCCTCAACAACACCACATATATCCTACGGCCATGGTGGATTTGCCAGAAGCGCTCCCGGATTTGGACGACACAGTTAGTTCGATTATGACTCTAGATTCTGATGGAGCCAGCTCGGATTCCTTCACGCCCAACTTCTCCACGCCCAACTTTTTGGGACCCGACTTTTCGGCTCCAGTTAATCCCATGCTACCTTTGATTCGGTCCTCGTCCCCTACTTCCCCTACCAGTTCATCTAAACCCCCGCCTAAGTCGGTACTTACGCCTATCCGCCTTACCTCTCCAGATTTTATTTCTCTTCTTGAAGAGAGTCTGAATGATGGTGAAGGGCTGAAGAGTCCTAAAGTCCCAAACAAAGTCTCTCGCAAACGGAAGAGGGATACCCTCGAGAAGGATACCTTCGATGAAGCAGTAGTGGTACTTCGGAGGTCTGAAAGGTTGATAAAAAAGGCTCGGAAATAGTAGGAGAAAGAAGGTGTAGAATACTAGTTTGGAAAATCGTTTCTCTGTTTTTGTAGTAAACTATACTTAGCTGGCCAAAGGTTAACGATAAAAACTACTAGAAAACTCATATTATACTAATATAGTCGAATTTCTTACTTATTTACAAGCAAATTTATAACTTATTTATTAATACAAAATATCTTTGTTTTATTTTCTACTTTTACTTTATAATACGAAAAAGTTTATATAGTGTATAAATATTTCCCTTTAATATTAGAAGTTCATTACAATTAAATTAAACTACTTTGGGGCGTTGCCTGCCACCCCAACCGAATTCAGCGGACATTAGTGTTAGTCACGTGCCATAGTGATAGCAGACTTACCCACATCGACCAAGCGGTTGAGGAACCCTAACCCTAGAGCTGGCTGAGCCAGCTCTAGGGTTAGGGTTCTGACCGCCATATCTAGAAACACAGCTCCCCACAATCACTATCCGCTACATTTCCGCACCTCTCGAAGGATTGATTGATTAAAGAGATGCGAGAAAAGAACGAGCAAACGCCATTTCTCAGCCCGGAACAGGAACCTGTCCCAACTTTTCTCTTGTGCCTACGTATGAAACGAGTTAGAAGGAGAATATTCAACACCTTATGGAGCACCAGACACTTTAATAAGCGGACTATCGGCTTCCGAAGCGAACGTCCGAGTTGTCGGAGTTGGATTTATTTTACTAGAAGGCGACCACAACCAAGCACATCCTTGGCATCTTTTCATTACGCGATTCTATGGATCAATTGCGTTCACGATGGTGTTTATGGCACCTATCGTACAAGATTCCCAATGCTGATTTGCGTGTTCGGGATTCGAGTCCCGCTCTGTACCACGGGGGACTTGATTAAGAACAAAAACTGGCAGAAAAAAATAATAATACAGCTACGGTTGATACTGCTTATTTTGAACGCAATGTCCAGCCTTATGAGACTACCCTATATACCATCCTCAGGCTGAATGGGTGTCAGAAACTTAATGAGGTCTTCGTTAGGTAGGTTTTGCAGTTCGCCAAGCTGTCTCCTTTGGAACAATCTTTCTCTGAACTCTCCTTCACCCCAAACAGAGAGTAGAAACTCATTGCCCACCTCACTCAACAACATTAGGCTTTCATACCGAGCAATGGTGGCACGGAAGGTCTCGAGGTCTTTGTTCGAAAACCTCGTCAAAGCTCTTAACGTGAACCCACTACCAAACCCAAGGGGTAAAAAGCAGAGAAGCCCATCGTATCCTTCTACCATCCTCATGATCTTCCGAGCCTGAGATATTTCCGCCGTGAATGCCTTCCGCGCTGCAGGAGTGTCTTCGATGCCACGACCTGCTAACACAGCTGATATACAACTTCCGCTTGCTCGATGTCGATGTTGATTTTCTTTCATGACTTTGGAAAGCCGAAAACTGGCTGACATGCCCAAAACGGTGTACAAAATACTGAGATTTTGTGCTTTTCGTCGTAGATTATCGTAGTGCCTAGCAGTTGACAACTCGTCCGTAGGCTTTCTCGAGGCGAACGAGCTTTTCAATGTGACGTCCGCACTGTCCCAAGCGTATACGATTGACATAAATCGCAAGATCGCACCATTGTCTATCGTTAGGCTTGCGAGTTGACGACCTGATTCGATACCGGTATCGGTATTAGTATCCTTCGTGTTGCTGTCAACTTTGATTTGGGCATCACCGCAACCGACACTGATAGCGGAGTCAGTGTCATTCTCGCTGTTCTGATTGCCATTCTCGTTGTTACCATGCTCTTGGTACTTGTCTTGCCCTTGGCCCTGCTCCTCATCCTGCTCTTCGTTTTCTTCATAGTCCCTCCCTTTAGTATCGTTATTGCCGACAACATTGCTAATATCTCGAGACTGACCAAAATTCTGCCTTTTGCTGTGTAGTAGAAGGGTGGCGTTTAATTTCCGTTTCTTGATGGGGGGCCCATGGGAAAGCTTTTTGAGGTTGCCATGGGACAGACTGTACAACCCGTCTTCTGGACAAACAACCCATCCACGTGGAATTGCCTCTTCACTAAGCAAAGTGAAATTGGTTGCTATAGCAAGAGACGGGGTTTGATTGATAACTGCGTGATATTGTCGTGGTCGTGTTATAACCAGGTCGCCGGGGCCAGCGCGAATGATATCGAACTTGATTCCTTCTTCGAGTAGCCTCTTCGGACTTACCATGATATTCAGATGCCGTACAGACTGGTCGCATTTGTGGAGCGCCCATTTGGTCGCAAGCATCCTTTCAAATTTGGTAGTATCATTCGGGTCGATCATGATCCAGAACTTCCACCCAAAAATATTGAGGTTATAGGAGCGCAATTGGGCATCCTCACAGTGGAAAGCGGTCCCTGAGCCACGCTCGCCCATATGCATGTACAAGGTATTGATTCCAGGGAGGTCGCCGAGTATCGAAAGTGCGCCGGATGGGAAAAGCGAAGCAAGTGGTGTTCCAGAGGTATCAATAGGCCCGACGTAGTAGGGTATGGTGTTTTGAGGAGGAGATTCAACAACGTCCTGAAGGAATTGCTTGGCCTCGTTATCTGTGAGCGGGTTGAGGTCGAAATCGAAATTGATGGAAGTCATTGTTTTCGAGTGAGAAAGGTATAGCCGTGAAAACCCGTCATCGTCCCGATCGTGTTGGACCGCAAATTGATCATGATCCGCCAATGGTAGAGCTCGTTTAGTAAGATTCTTCCAATCGATACCCAAGTCTGCAATGGACACGCAGACTTTCCCACGGAAATGGGGATCTGTTTCGAGTTTGTGAAGGTTGGCGATGAGATTGAGTCCGAGGTCGTCTTTAGTTAATGACTTGAGGGTATGATGTCCGATCTTGTCAAGATTTGGGATAGGATGAGGACCGGTGGTATTGGTTAAGTATCGTATCGATGGTAGGGATATTGAGGATATTGAGGATGTGGTTGTTAATTCGTTGAGCTTGTTGTCGATGCGATTCAATACCTCAAGAACTTGTTGGATGGCGCTAGAGATGACGTCGGTTTGAGTGGAGGAAGAAGAGGGAGTGGATTTTTGCCAATTGGTTTCAGCAAAATTGCAAAGGTGTTGGATTTGGAGTTTGATTGATTCAATTTCGCTCTTAAGCGCCTCCATTTTGAAACGGCTGGGAATTAAGAACGGAAGAAAGGACGATGGTTGTATGTAGTGGGAAGATGCGGAGATGGTGTTGACGTGAAAAGAGTGAAGCAAAGAATTTAGCGACAAGGGTGCCAAGCCTTTTTGTCAGTCCGGACCGATAAAAAGGCTTGACAAACCTGCAAATGTCGCTCCTACCGGTAATAATCAACGCCGCCGCCCCGCCAGTATCCAATGTATCAAGGCTATATAACGAAGGCATAAATGCAACCCCGACCTTGAGCAACTACCTTTATTTGAACGCTCTCATAGGAACTCTTCGGGTCTTAGTTGCTGGAACAGGAGACTTGACTTTCATCTGAAATCATCCGAGCAAATATCATAGTTTGGAGTTGTGATATGGGTGGTGGCCTTTGGGCTTCGCGTGCACTTAAGTCAAGGCAGACAAGTACAAAGTCGGGCTTGTGAATAGGGCACGTGCATACTTTGAGTGGAGTTGGAGGCTGCCGGCTTCAGATCCTAGAGCTGTGGTTGGCTTGCCGCTCTCAACGCCGCCGTCATCCTGTTTCGCAGCCCTGGCATGCAGCTCTCTCAGCCAATCGACTCGTCTACAAAGGTGTTGGCGGCTGCGCCGGCAGTGTGTTGCAAGCCAACCACCATGGTTATGACACGCCAGGATGGAAGGGAAGAGGTGGGCTAATGCAGGCAGATGAAGAAGGTAGGTTAAGGCAGGTACATGAAGGAGGTCCATCATGATCAGTTTGTCGTAGTGGATCACCAAACCGTGATCCAACAAGACAAGAGCGAGAGATTCCCTTGCCACGCTCTCATCAGACTCGGCGACTAACTGCATACACATAACTGGGCCGAGGGACTAGGAACCAATCAGGAATAGTCTTCTGACCGAGTGCAATCTTAGTGTTAGCCGTGTAAAAAATCTAGCCGCAGTGTCAGGACGGTCAACTTTTCTTGTAATCCGCCCAATTATATTAATCTTCTTAGCGCCAGCTCCCCACTCACTATATTGCCTCCGTCCGAACGATATGGATACGAGAGGTTGTTGTTCAGTTTTTTGACCCTACCACGTGATTAAAAGACCCGGTTCATATCCTTCCGACTCCGATAGATAAGCTACCATATCGCCTGACTAGTAGTTGGGTCGGTGACGACCAGCGAATCCCAGGTGCTGTATGTTTTTTTTTTCCAGAAAGTTTTGGCTCAACTTCTTCCTCCTTTTCCTCTTTCTCGTCTTGTCTTCATTCAACCTCCTCTTCTCTTTTCTGGCATATTTTTACAGTCAACCGATCCTCACGACTCCCAAGGCCACAAGTCGCCGGTTTCAACTTTTTCTAGAAAGCTACAAAGTTCGCCACCGAATTATCGGGGAGTGACATCGCCCTTGTTCCCATTCCCCCCCCCCCTCCATCTTCCTATGGGCTTATCTCTATGTACGTACTCTCACACACTCTCTCCCAAGTTCATCAGTGTACTGATTGATACTTTCTTGACCCGGGCGGCACTAGAATCCCAAGTTACTCAAGTCGATAATACCTCTGCCAAGCGCACTGTAATTGATCTTCCCGCTCGCCGCCGGGTGATCAAAGCTGTCCCACTGCTCCGATGCATACACATCCGTAAGCATTTGCTCGTCGATATCCACCATCTCACCCTCATCGCCCAGAGAACCATCCTCGCCATCATCATTAAGCAAAGAAGGTTGTGGCGATACTGAATTCGACTCCGACATCCACCCAAAGCTGGATGTCGAAAGTAACCCTTCGCCTGAAATGAGAGACATCGGCGCTGCCTTTGCATTGAACGTCGCTGCCTTTGCGGACATGGAATTGGCAGTCTTATTCGCTTCCGGCTGCGGAAGACGAACCCCCTGGTTCCATTGGAAGAAATTGTCCTTGTCCCAGATCTGTTTAACGCGCTGCAGCTTCTGGCGGTTATTGCCATAGTACACTCTCTCACTCGCATTCGACTGGAGAGCAGCATCAGGAAAGTTGATGAACGCAGCACAGCCCATCATCGAAAACGGCCTCAGCTTCTCCTTGAACTTCTGCAAGAACCCCCGCATGTCCATCTCCAACCACTTCTCCTGCCACTCCAGCATGATGTACGCGTGGTACGTGCAGTCACGCCAGCGGAACGCCGTCTCCGACCGCTTCTTCGCACTCGCCTTCCCGCCCGAGTGAATCCAGGTGACTTGTAGCAGGCCACTTTCACCGGCGAATTCGCGCCGGAAGGCGGCCATTTCTTGTCGGATGATGGAGATGACGCTCTTGATTCTGGAGGCGTCGTTCTTGAACACGAATGAGGAGTAGAGCTTGTGCGCAGTCTCAGTGCCGGAGGGGAAGGCCTTGATGGTTTCCTCGGACCACTGGGACGCTAGTGTCTCGTGCAGAAAACGGGTCGACTTCTCGGCTAGGGTGCGACGCTTGAGCTGCTTCGCCAGGTCCTTTTGCTGCACTTTGTCTGAGATCAGCGCATCGAAGTCCGACTTGGTGCCGTCGTAGTAGACCAGGAAGCGCACGCCGAGTTTGAGCTCGCTGCTGGTCTGCTGTTTGAGGTCGCAAAGCCAGGAGCTGTTGATCGTGATACTGTCCGGCCAGGAGGTCGTGTAGAACTGCTCCATTGTGCGAGTGAACTCGTCCATCGCCCCCTCAACCGCCGGGTTGGGAAACCAGGTGTACCTCCCCGCCACCACCAGCCCTTCTTCGTTCTGAAGATGGCTGAGGTACATCTTGAACTCGACAACGACACCAAAGTTGCCGCCGCCGGCGCCGCGCAGCGCCCAAAAGAGCTTGCCCTCGTCCGAGTTGGCCTTGTTTTCGTCGCTAACGGTGACGATGCGCCCGTCCGCAGTGACGAGCGTCGCCTCCTTCAGAGTGTCGCAGCCCATCCCGAAGCTCCGCGTGAACGGACCGAGTCCGCCGCCGAGCAAAAAGCCGCCGACGCCGACGGTGGGGCAGCGCCCGCCGTTGATAATGATGCCGTTGTGCCGGCCGTTGACCAGCGCCTTGTAGGCATGGCCCCATAGGGCACCGCCCTGCAGCGTAACGAGGTTGTTGTCGACGTCGAGATCGACTTTGTTCATCCGTACTAGATCGAGCAGGATGCCTTCGTTGGTGGTGGAGAAGCCGGCGTAGGAGTGGCCGCCGCATTTGATGGTGACGGGCACGCGGAGCTTTTTGGCTTTCTTGATGACTTGCGCGACTTGCTCCCTGGTCTCCGGCTGAACTACGCAGGCCGGACGCGTGAATCGGTAGAGGAGGTTGGCGGTGGCGACGGAGCGTTCGTATTCGCTGGCTTTGGGGCCGGAGGGCGTGAAGGTGGGGATCCCTTGGGTGATTAAGTCTGCGATGATGGTCTTTTCGGCCATCGTTTTGATGTCGTTGTCTGCCATTTTCGTCCAACTAACTCGCTGGCAACGTCCTGGATGTTTGTGTGTCAGCGACCGACCGCTTGGCCAAGATACGTGAGTTCGGTTTCGACAAACAACTCACGATTGTTGGATCTCGTGTCACTGTACGTTGGGGATTGTGTCTTTTGGGATTCTGTCTTTGGGATTCAACTTTCCATACCCCCAATATATCAATAAGATCTGCACGCGCGAGACCACTGGTCTCCATGACTACACGTGTACATCCTTTCAGCCTCGTTATGGCCGATTGGCTTCACACACCCTTCAGCTCCCCACGGTCGATGAAACCTTCGCCTCCGACGTCCCACCGTTCAGTTCAACACTTGTCGCCTTCACAGGCCTTTTAGGGACCTGAGAGAATGCATCTGTCCCGAACGGTCAGCGCTTCCGATGCGACTAGTTGGATCAATTGGTATATGGGGGGGTCTAGATTCAGTCCTCCGGAGTCCCGTTTAACCACCCTTGCTTTTCGGCAGACCCGCACCGCTTCAAAACATTTTCATGGTGGTAGGCGCCGCTTGGGTACCAGGCAAACACCAAACAGCGCTGCGTGTGATAGACCGAAACAAGACTCACTGATTCGCAACGATATGAACATTAACAATCCAAAACGCTTCGTTATATTCCAACTTCTTATCGCTCGTAGTTCTCTACATTATATATCCTAAACCTCACTCGCCTTCGCCGCCTCTTCAGCAGCCACTATAACGGCCGGCGGCTGGAGCGGTGATGGTGATGGTGATCGGGACCGGGAACTCTCCCTTTGTGTCTCATCTGTCGTCGTTATCGGCGCTAATACCGGCGCTGGTTCTTTCTTGACCTGTTCGGTAGCTGTTGCTGGGGCGTCGTCAAGTGAGACCTCCTCCATGCCCTTATCCTCCGTATCCTCCTTCTCCTCCTTATTCTCATTCTCAACCTTCTCATCCTTTCCATCATCCTCTGTCACCGTCGCCGCCGCTGTGGTCGTCGTACCCGCCCCCCTCACCACCTCCGGCGACGCCACACTCATCAAATTCACACTCCCCACAGTCCCCGCCGTCCCCGGCCTCGATCCCGATCCGCCACCACTACCCACCGGCTTCCTCGCAATACTCGCCACTGTCTCCCTGCTCCTTACTCTCTCAGGAGTTCCAAACTCACTCCCCGAGAACCCATCCTCACTTCCCGCCGCATCCAACATACTCTCTCCACTCAACGCCCTCCTCCTAAACGCCCTTGATTGCCCACCACCGGTATTGCTACTATTTCCCGTTCTGGTGGTTCTCGTAGACTCCGGACTGCCCGTAGCCAGCGGAAGAGCGGCATATGCCCCGTTTCGTTGCGGGGACTGGGGCATGAACGTTTCTCTTTCCTCGGAGGAGCCCCCGCCGCCGCTGAGAAGGACGGAGGTGCGGTTCCTGATGGCTTTGGACCAGCCCCATCCTTTCTTTTCCTGTTCCTTTTCCTTCTCCCTGTCTTGTGGTGAAGAGGTGTCTGAGGTCGTAGTACCCGTGCCGGTGGTGGGAGGGATGGGCGTAGTCTCGGTAATCGGTGTCGTCGGCGCCGAGCGGCCCCATCCCTTGCGCTTTTCGCCTGCCCAGGCCGTCCAGCTGCTCACAAAAGCGCCGGCTTTGCTGCCTACCGTAGACACCGCGGCCGCTGGCGCCAGTCCTCCTTGTCCGTTCCCTCCGTTCCCGTTCTCACTCCCACCACTGCCACCCTTTTCACTACCATGCTGCCCGTTCCCACCAGTAGCTGCCGCCTCAGCCTGTCGTTGCTTCTCCGCCTCCTCCGCCGCCTTCCGTCTCTGTTCTCTCAACGCCTCCATGTCCGCGTAAAATTTGTTGAACATCGTGCTCGCCTTCTCTTTGCCCGCCTGTAGATTCCGACCCAGCACCTCCTTGCCAACCGCAAACCGCTCATCCAGATGCAGATCCTGCACCTGCTGCGCTATGCGTCTCTGCACATCATCGATCGTCAGCCCGCCGGCGCAGGGGTGCTTCGGCTCGACAATGTCGAACAGGTGCGAGTCCGTGTGGCCGTCCCAGATCCGGTAGTTTTCCGTGCGCTTCCAGGCTTCGATGAAGTCGGCGTTGAAATCGAGCGAGGGATCGCCTTCGATGTGCGGGAGCAGCATCCGTGGGTTTTGGGAGTGGATGGCGAGGTGGTTGTGGTATTTGACCGAGGAGATTAGCGACAACAGGTATTCCTCGAATTGCAGCCGGATGAACTCCTCGGAGCCGACGTAGCCCATGGTCTTGGGCATGCCGGGGTTGGCGTCGTCCCACGTGTCGTTGACGTTCTGCGTGATGAAGTCGATCCAGCGGCGGTCGGGGGTGGACAGGGCTAGGGCGGATTTGAGGCTGGGGGAGGTGATGTTGATGGAGTCTTCGTCGAGGTTGATGAGGATGTCGGAGTAACGGTCCTTCTGCTGGAGAAGCAGAGAGTTGGTGCTGCCGACGATGTAGGACTTTGTGCCAAAGTCCGCTAGGACGTCCAGCTGCTGAAGCGGAGTATACGGCCCGAACAAGCTGCCTTTGCCGAAGATCTGAAGCGGTAAGCCCATATACGCCAGCAGCGAGTTGCGATCACTAGTCCGCAAGCTCGTCGGCCTCTGTAGCTTCTTTTCGTAGTTATCCAGCTCCGGACCGGCCGAGTCTTGCAAGTTCCTCAGCAGCCCCGGGATCAGGCTGATCAGCGAGAACTGCATCATGCACAGCCTCTCGCACCTTGACCCAAAGAACAGCATCTTCGGCTGGAGCAGACAGCACTTGAGCAGCACCAGCGTCTGCCACCGGAACTCGCGCACCAGTTCCCGCAGGCTCATGCCGAGATATAAATCCCTGTCCTCCTCCTTCTCGCCCAGCAAAGTGCCGCGCGCCTTCTCATCCGCTAGGCTCTCCTGAAAGCGGCGGAGGATCTCGACGTCGGTGAACTCGCGCTGGGCGAACCAGGCCTTTGTGACGACGCTCAAACGTTCGCGCAACATGCCAAAGTACTGGGGCGAGTCGGCGATGATGACGACGGCTTTCTGCACGGTCGAGCGGGTGACTTCGGCGGGGCGGTTGAGCAGCTGGGAGGCGTCCATCTGGCGGGTGCACGAGATGCCAAAGAGGGAGGTGGCTTCGGGGTCGGAGGCGGTGGCGGGCCGGAGGAGGGTGAAGTAAGAGAAGTCTTCTGTTGCGCTGTGTCGTCCAATGCGTCGTCAGTCATCATGTATGCCCTCAAGAGTCGAAGGGAAAGGGGATTACCTACGCATGAGCACCATCGCTCAAGGCCATAAAAGGCAACAGCCCCCAGTCATACTCGGCGGCTGGATCGCTATCCTCGGGCACGCCGAACCACCTCTCGACCTCGGGGCCGCGCGCATGGTGGAAGTCGACGACGGCGACGAGCGGGGTGAAGCCCGGCTTTCTCTCTGTTGTCGGTGTAGGGGGAACGGACATTGTCTAGGCTGAGGTCCTGGGATCCGGGAGTTGCGACTGGTATGTATGGGGTGCAGGATGGCGGCAGAAGAAATGAATCCGACGCTTCCACCAAAGCTACCGCTCGCTCGCTATATGACTTGAATGTTTCTCTCGCGGCCGTTGACTTAAGATATCCCCATATGGTAGGTGTATATAAAAGCGGCGACTGAGAAAATGGCGGAAGCTGTTTAGTTGGGTTGGTATAGTCTTGGGTTGAGGTAAGAAATGGCGGCGTAATGGGCGGGCCAAGCAATGCCAATGCCAATGCCGTATATGTCGTCGCCGTTCAGTGACCAGAAGATAGGTGGGTATAAACAAACTTTGAACAGGAGTTGACGATAATGTGATGTTGCTATCAACACACTAACATTTCTACACAGTCGCCGGTCTGACCTTTGGAGAGTCGCGTTCGTGACAATGGCTGCTGGCCCCGGGCTGGGCGGCTCGTGCTTCGTTCCCACCGCCTGGAGACGGGAACCCACAGCGCTGAACAACACCTCATCAGTGGGCTGCGATATCTTGATGAGATCCTGCGGGGTGGCATCCTCCAATTGGTTGGCGTTTCACGGGTTTTCCCGGTCAGTGCCTCATGCAACTACTACTGCAGAGAGCCAACAGGAAAATACGGTGCGGAATGGGCACCAAACCGCCTAACCATGAGTCTTGGCAAAGATGAGAATCGACGGCAACGATGGTGATAATTGAATCTCAACACCGCATTTGATAACTACATCTGGACCTCACTTAGCTATTCCTTACCACCCGGCTTTAAACCCTCTCTTGAGCCTCTCTACCCCTCTCGAGCCCCTTCACCCGCTCTTCACCCCCTTTTCACAACCCCTGAGCTAATCTTGGCGATCTCCGACTTGTATAATGCAAACCCGTTAATACTCCGAGGTGAGCTGGTGTTACCAGATAGTCTATCATATACTCGAATTGATATAGAATCTCAACTCTATCCGACCGCCTGTGTGCCCGTATGACCCATCCCTAATGGCGTTTTTCCTGTTGTTTATTAGCAACTAGGTGCCTCATGAGCCACTGGATAGCCATCATTTCCACTTGTCCTTCTTGCAGCCAGCTACTTTGTCTCCATAGCAATACTTCTTCGGCGGGATTGAAAAGTAGCGGTCTCGAGCTAACACATCCGTCCCTCTCCCCAAACGCCATGCATGCCCAAGCTTTCCATCATTGGTAAAAATCGGTCGCGGTTCGGCAGTCAACAAGCGCAAGCACCCTCTTTCGCATCCTGGTTTCTTTCACTTTTTGTCTTATTGAATCCTAACCCCAAAGATCGCCTGTGCCTGTGTACGTGTATTTCCCATGCATGCGTCCCTCTCTCTGGACATGCTCAATTGCAATGCCCTCACCCTTTCTTTGAAACTTCCCTAGTACCCGGGACCTGGGTACAGTTTTCTGATGTGTATCCGCTTCCCCGCTCTTCAAACATTGTAGACAAAAACAGACTCGGAGAACCCCCAAAAAGTTGACCGAAGAAAAGTGGATTATGACGGTAAGAAAACATGTGGCATGATGTCGTGGTATCATGAAGCCAGGGGACTTCTACCCCTGTATCGAAGGTTCGGGGTCATGTCTCGACCCTGCCGTTGCCGTGTTTTATTGCACAAGTTCGTCGGAGAACTCCATTTGCCCTGAGGCTTCGACGTTGTGGTAGTCAAGGATCTCGGAGTACCTGTGGCTCGGTTAGTTGTTGGTCCTCAACCCATGATATTGATGCGGTGAACTCACATCATGATCTTCCATGTGTCGACCGGAAGATCGGCGTCATTGAAACTCCAATCGAACTTCTCCTCGGCAACAGGCTCGTCGGTGGGATCGTGGTAGGGAGCAAGGTACTCGTGGGATAGGGCCTCGGTGGCAGTTATCCGCTTCTTGGGGTCAAAGACAAGCATGCGCTCGAGCAGGTCGACAGCTAAGACAGGTCAGCATGTTGTGTATCCTACGATGGCCAGCGGCTGAGACATACCTGAAGGATCGGCGTTCTTAAACTTGTTCTTCAGAGGCTGACGCTCGCGCTTGGGAAGGGACTTGACGAATCTCAGGGTCTAACAGAGAGTTAGCAACTGTGTCGCAGAGCCTTCGGCAGAATGGGGGTGGTACACACGTTTTCGCTAGCAATAGTGTTGATGACATCGTCTGGGGGAGTGCCGAGAAGCTCGGTGATGATGGAGAACTGGTTGACATGGTCCTTGCCGGGGAAGAGGGGCTTGCCCTCGAGCATCTCGGCGAAAATGCAGCCGGCACTCCAGATATCGACCTCGACGTCGTACTTTTGCCACGTGAGCATGATCTCGGGGGCGCGGTAGTAACGAGTAGAAACATAGCCAGTCATCTGAGGATCCTGGATACGCGCAAGGCCGAAATCGCAAATCTTCAAGTCACAGTTCTCGTTGACCAGGATATTGCTAGGCTTCAAGTCACGGTGGACGACACCGGCGGAGTGGACGTATTTGAGGCCGCGCTAAGGTTGGAGTCAGTTGTTGCCGTCGTTCTTGTGCGACACAGGGGTGACATACCATGATCTGGTACAAGAAGTACTGGATGAATTGCTTCTCAAGAGGCCTAGAAGTGAGAAGCCTGTGAAGATCGGTTCCGAGAAGCTCGGTAACGAAATAGATATCCTCAAGAGGGGAGATGAAGATATCGCTCAGAGAGATGACCTGTAGCGCAGCATGTCAGTCGCATAGTTCCCCTCTGCTTGTACGATAGAATCTGGGAGACCAACGTTTTCGTGCCTCAAGTGCTTGAGAAGCTTCAGCTCACGGTATGTGCGCTTGGCGAGGACTGGTGTGCTGAAAGGCTTCATGATTTTCTTGATGGCAACATTCTGGTTGGTGAGCTGGTCTTTCGCGGAGCTGCGCGGCAGGTATCGTTAGCAGGGCGTGTCTGGCGATATTTCGAGATGGTGAAGCAAAACGTACCAGACGAGACCAAAAGCTCCCATGCCAACGGGCTGGAGATCGGAGTACCTATCGCGGGATCAGACTAGAGCGCATAATGGGAGAAGGGTTCATCGCGGGGGGGCCAACCTCGAGGTGATCTCAAAGGTAGTTCCGAAGATCTGGGCGCGGATGAATTCGGCCATTGTGACGTGTGGTGTCTATTGACTTGAAGTGTCGAGGTTGCGGGTTACAGAACAAAGGACGGAGTGAGGGTTGCTGGAAGACTAAGTAGCCCTGTCTCTGGTAGGAGCGCGGGGCAAGCTTGGCCGAGTGTCGAAAACGCAAGTCAGACGCGATGTCTGATTCAGTGGCGACAGTGAAGGGATCCGGTGATCGGGCGCTTCGTGTTTTGTGTAAGGAAGAGACGACGTCGGCTGGTGGTCGGATGTTGCCTGCGTGGTACGCACAATGAGGGGATCGGGCAAAGGCTGAGAATTCCTGAACGCGAACCCAAAACTTTGGTATTGTCTTGGGAAGAAAATAAAGTTTAGCTTGGGCACCGAGAGCAAAAGTGGAAGAGAAGGAGAGCGAGTGGGAGCCGAATGCAAGTGGACGCAATGGACAGAAAAAGGAATCCATCCCACTCCCACTTCTCCAGCGCAACCTGGGCAGCTCACTGGCAGTGGGCAATTTAGTGTGCGCCAGGCAGTTGCAAGGGCGGGGAAGGCCTTTAGTGGTGGACCTTGATTTGGTGGGGATCCGCCCGCTTACCTGCAGTAGTTCACTAACAGAACTGGAGCTTTTACCCAAATTGAATCCGGATAGGAGGGGCAGCGACAAGTGGTTGGCAGGTGCGTGGTTCGGCTCGGATCTCGATCGATGATTGGGATTCTGGCGCCGCAACTCGTGTGTCCTACTCGATATGGAATGATCTTCCTCGTGTCGTGTATGTCACGAATTCGTTGTCGGATGGTTGGTGAGAATTGTTGTTGTGTTGTTGTAAAATCTCTTTTGCAATCCAAGGGCGATTTGAAGTTAGAACCGATGGCCCCGCACTTTCCGATATGGAATGCTTTTCTGTAGTTGCACCTACCCGCACACTTGGCGAGTCTAGTTAAGCAGAGGTCGAGTCGGACTCCTTTTAACCGAGGAATATCGCGATCGAGGTTTGGTTGGTGGGTTGAGGCTAGTATAGGCCAACGACAACGACAGAGGTCCGAGACTGGGAGAAAAACACGCAAAGCGGATATGGTGTCGCAGGAGCGTCGCAGAAGCACAATAGGTTTGAAGAGGAGGAAAAGCAGAGGAGGGACCTGTGAGGAAGAGGAGGAGCGAAAGCGCAGGTGATAAAGAGGAGAAAAAAGAAGGATCTACGAGCAGTAAATAACAAGTCACGTCTTTTCGCACCTCCACCTGAACCTGAACCTGAATCTAAACACCCGATGAGCCAGGCAAGGGTGCGTGAAGATGCAGCGAGGATGGAACGGGAGGCCGGGCTCACGGGCAAGGAAGTGGGAGAAACAGCTTGAAACGGTTAAGGCGCTATCAGCAGGGGCCGGCAACCTCCAATAAGGTTGGTTGAGATGGAGGAGCATGGAGAGCTGGCACCACCCTGCCCTACATCGGCGACCGTCCTCGAGACCGGGAACCCGACGCCGGGACTGGAGAACAGGATATGCTGAATTCCCGTCTTGTTCAAATTCCATGCTTTGGTTCATCCATTTTCAGCTTTCTTTTTGTCGTTGGTTGAGTACCTGTACCTGCCCCCTCCCCTTTGAGTCCCCCCTTGACTTTCCTACCCCTAGTGTGTCTCGTGTTTTGCATGTATACACCATTCCTCCAACTGGATGTTGTTATGTCTGATAGGTATGCTGTTAACTGTCTCTGTTACTGCAGGGCCGTCTGAGAAAGTGAAGATAGCCTCAATGGATGCCATGTTGATGTCTTCTAATGTGCAGCTTAGGTAGTTATGTATGTACAAGTCAAAGAATCATCCCTTCCAACTGCTTGCGCATTGCAGGTCAAGTGTCTTTTTATGCACACCTTGGGTTGTCTCCTATAACCCCGCAACTTGATCCTCGGTTTCCCATAACGTTGGGTCTTTGTTGTGTTACTTTAAACCCTCAGTCAATACTCATTACATCCAGTTCACCGACCACATTCGGCTTCATCAACAGACA